GAGTTTATAATTTTTCCTCAATAACTAATGCTACTATATCCATAAAAAGAGTTGATGCAGATAATAATTTAATACTCCCTCCGTCCCATGAAACATGGGACTTTTGCGTTTTAGGGGGAATTTAAGGGAGTGTATTTTGGTATTGAATTTCCAAAAATGTCCTTTGATGTGATGTGTAAAAGTATGATTTGATGGATAGATTATTAGTAAAAAAGTATGATGTGATAGTTAGGGTATGAAAAAGTAAGGGGTAAAAGTGACTTTTTAATAGAAATGAGAAATGTTTTGTGGGACGGATAAAAAAAGAAAGGGGAAAGGTTTCATGGGACGGAGGGAGTATTTTTTTAAGAAATAAATCAAGCTTTCATAAGATATTTTAATATTTAAACAAATCAAATATTTTTTATACGAATCGAATATATTTAAACGAATCAATTTTTTTTAAATGAATTGAATATCTTATACATGATAAACGAATCAAACACGAATCTTCTAAAATATTTGAACCAAGTATGAATACGAATAAAATCTAAAACTAATGAATAAGAATAATATTTATCAATATTCGATTCAATTAGGTTCATTTACAACCCTAATACGAAGTACATCAAAGACCTTGTTTGGGAATAACATTTTCGAATAGCGTTACCGTTTTGGAAAAAAGTTTTAAATGTATAAATTAATTTCGAAAATGCTAATGCTAGAGACCTTGTTTGGGAACAACGTTTTCGATTAGCGTTAGCATTTTGGATAAAATTTTAATGAAATAGATTAATTCTAAAACACTAATACTCGATAGCATTTTCAAAACACTAACGTTAATTTCTAATAGTAGTGACTGATGTCAAATAAAACAAAAAAAATTAGTTTTTTTTTTAAAACGGGAGAACCAAAATATCACAGGCATAAGATGTTAAGAAAAGCTAAGAAGCGGACTATTTGCCTGCCCCTATTTGCCTTCGTACCAAACCAAACCCCGTTTTTATTGGGAAGGCACTCAAATCAAATCAGCCACAGCCCAAATGGCTTCGCCGGCAGCTTTTAAGACCTGGCGGATGTTCTCTCCCGTCGTCGCCCGGCCGCTGATTTACGCTTCCAACTTCCCCCCCTCGTCGTCGCTCTCCTCCTCATCTTCTTCTCTTTCAGCAAAACCTCTATACCTTCGGTTCGCATCTTCCGCACTCTCCGTTCGCCGCGCCGCCTCCACCACCGCCATGGGTGACGTCGTCGCCGATGCCAACATGGACGCTGTCCAGCGCCGTCTCATGTTTGAAGACGAGTAAGTAGTCTCCTTTCTCTTCGGATCTTCTCTTTAATTTCCGCTCTAAAGCATCGTTTATTTCTGGCTCTGAATTACCTGGCACAGTGTTGAATTGGATTCTAAGATGTGTTTAATTTTCGATTTTTCTTCCTTGAATACTAATCGATCCAAAGCATTTCCGATCTTTACAGTACATTACCGATTCAAAACATTATGAATTTCCACAGATGCCTTTTTAAAAGTCAAGTGATCATTACCCTTCTATCATTTTTAGGTTAAAAGTTGCAGTCGTTCTTTGTTTACCGCAGGTGTATTCTGGTAGATGAGAATGACAATGTTGTTGGTCATGATACCAAGTACAATTGTAAGTTCCCCGAATGGCTGAATTCTATGTACAATAAGAGTTAAATTTTAGGTGCTTTTATTGTGCTTCTTATTTGGATAATCACCAGGCAACTTTGGAATTGTTGTTTGCAGTCATTAGTTCTCATAGTCATAAACATTCATAATCATTGTGGGTGTAATCAGGACAATTGTCCCTGTTGTGAATGTTGATCTGTAGGAATCAGATCATCTTCTATTGAAGATCAAATACACTATTTGGCTCACATGGATCCCCAGATCAGCTCGTATCAAATACACTATATGGGCTGGTCTGAATCTTGATGTTTCTCATTAAGTCTAGTGTGATACAAATGTGACTAAAACTAGTACCCTGATTAATAAGCACAGATTAATAGTTTAGTGGGTGTTTCTCTGTGCTTATAAGTTGGTCAAAACTGCATATAATGAGTTTTTAACTTATAAGTCAGCTGATGACATGTTCCTGTGTGCTTATAAGCTGACTTATAAGTAGGTCTTAGCTACTTATTTTTAAGCCAGTTTTTCAGTTTTTCTATTTTGACCATATTATTTACAAATCTGTCTCTCACCATTTATGAATATTTCCAAGTGAAAGAACATTTGACTTATACAGAGCTTATAAGTTCAAAATTGCTTATGAGCAATAAGCCAATAAACACCAGCACATAGAAACACCCCCTTAATACTTCATCCCACTCTTCTTGCTCATTTTTATCCATACAGGCGTCCACTATTTTTGTCTCGTACCATATTTGGTCATATTTGTGTGGTTCATATTGATTTTACTTCATTTTTACTCTATCAACCACATAATCTTGCTTTTCTTAAATTTTTTTGTCACTCCCTCATGTCCCAAAAATAGTGGGACGGAGGGATTAATATATTAAAAAAAGATGAAGAGAACATCACCTAAGTTCAAGCCTCATACGTTTGAAAGTAAAAGTGTGAAACCATTGCGATCAATATGCAGGTCATCTTATGGAGAAGATTGAATCTGAGAATCTGCTTCACAGAGCCTTTAGTGTTTTCTTATTTAATTCTAAATATGAATTGCTTCTTCAGGTATGTCTAGGAAACTATCTGTTTTTTTCTTCTTATTGATACCTAGATATTTCAGGACTATTCAGGCCCGGACAACCTGGTTTGGATAAACAAAAAAACATCTTGTTTGACACACCCAATTTCCGACAATTGTTTCCCAATAATTAAGCTTTAAATGTTTTGTACGGAATTAAATTTTATCCTTGTTCTCAAAACATATTTTCCACATTTTCTCATGAATCAGTAGATATAGTTTATTATATTCTATGATTGTCCTGGTCTTGCAGCAAAGATCTGCTACAAAGGTCACCTTTCCTTTGGTGTGGACTAACACCTGCTGCAGTCATCCTCTGCACCGAGAGTCCGAGCTCATTGAAGAGAATGCTCTTGGTATATATTTCTCCTAGGTAACATTTGGTTAGCCGTAATGCATTACAATGTAAATTGTGATGTAATCAAATATATCTTCGTGTAAATTTACAACACACATACATTTGATTACATTTTCATTACGTCTTATCAAGCTACTACTTAGCACATACATGGAATCGTCAACTCAATCAATTTACATTCATCATTGTATATCTTTGTATTTTAGGGGTGAGGAATGCAGCTCAAAGAAAGCTTCTTGATGAGTTGGGAATTCCCGCTGAGGATGTCCCAGTTGACCAATTCATACCTTTGGGTCGTATCCTTTATAAAGCACCTTCTGATGGCAAGTGGGGAGAACATGAACGTAAGGGCCTTTTCACTCAAAGTATCCGAACCTAATCGTGTTCCATACGTGTTATTCTAACGCTCTGTTTGGATAGAGGGGTTTGAAAGGTTAGGTCTACTATGCATACATAGATATACATAAACAGAGAGAGAGAACCCAATGTCCCTCTCTTTCCTTTCTTATAGCACTCAATCAAGAATATGTAGGTATTAACCCTTGCATCACATCCAATAACCAAGATTCATCTTAAAATAAAACAAACCCAATCCCCATGCGCGCGCACACACACATTCCTCAGGAATATGAATATGTATATATGCTTAGAACTTATGGAATTAAAGAAAAACTCTTTTCCTCAAAATTTCATTTATAAGAAATGAGTTTGAAATGTGAAATGAGTCAATGAGTTTGTCCCTCACTCATTCACATTAGCAATGCTCATTATCTTCATCATATTTTAGATAGTTTATCATAATTTCTTTATTGAATATGAAAAATGGATATCTTAATCCGAAGAGATTGAGTAATATAATACAAGCGATTATGTGACATTTAGATCACCTTTGCTTAGTAGAAGCTAGAAGCATTTTACGAATATTTTTCAGAATGCGCACTAATCCCTTTGTATTTATTAGTAAATTGTTGACATTAAATTTCATGCCGCTAACCTCAACGTAACTGGTTATTACCAGTGGATTATCTTCTGTTCATGGTGCGGGATGTGAGGGTGCGCCCAAACCCGGACGAGGTTGCGAACGTAAAACATGTCAACAGAGAAGAGCTGAGAGAGATACTGAGGAAAGCGGATGCTGGAGAGGATGGGATAAAGCTATCGCCCTGGTTCAGGCTCGTTGTCGATAACTTCTTATTCAAATGGTGGGATAATGTTGAAGATGGCTCCCTCATGGACGTTGCTGATATGAAAACCATACACAAGTTGACCTAAATGCCATTGGCCCTGCCCCTGGCCCTGCTACCTCTTAAACCCTGCACGTAAGTTTTGTGCATTTTGTGTAATTTCAATAATCTATACACACTTTAATGTAGTAGAAATGTAACATTCTGCTTTATGCAAATATATATATATATACACTGATTAATGTAATTTCTTACTTGAATGGGATTACCTATGGTATACGTGTTTTGCTTTTTTAGCCGATTTTTCTAATAAAGTTTAAGTACATAGCTTTCACTCTTTTAGTCAACTCGGACACATCAATTTATTGGTGTAAGATTGTTGTTCTTGTCGTAATATTGATTGATCTTATCCTCCATAACAGCTCGGTGTGGCCTCAGCCTACCCTCACACACCCTCCAATATCTTTACCCCAAATTCAAGTATTCCTTAGTCAATTTTACTAAAAAATTTGACCCTCAAAGTTAACAAAATTTGATGTATTGAAATTAGAAGGGGTGCATTTGTTGAGTGTTTAATTATATAGGAGCAATAAGGCAGCGCTTTCTTTAACTTACTTTTTCTGCTTATTAATTAATTTTATTATAATTAGATTAGACTAGATTATATCAGAAACAACTTTAATTATAATTACAATCAAACCAGATTAGACTATCAGATTTTCAAACAGAACGCAACCTAAATTGGCCAATAAATTAGTGTAAGATGACTTCTCTTTATTTATTTAATAATTCTCAAAACTAAACCTCATAAAATAAGTTTATTTTGGGTTAATAAATACCAACTCATTTCATCAGACGCTCATTGTCGAGTAGTAAATCATCAAACAACGGTACATATTTCAAGGAAGAAGGTAACGACATGAAAACTGCAGCAAGATCCCCCAAACAGAAGTTCATTCCTCAACTCCGCTTCCGAAGCACACGGATTCCGAGTCATCGGCCTCTTCCCGAGGTGCGTCCGGGTCCGTGTCCTCTCTCGTTATCGTATAGCTCGAAGCAGAAGATTCCACCACCACCGTCTCTGGCGGCTCCACCACCACCACTTTCGGCTCGTCGACCATTGTTCCCCTCTTCCTTCTATACCTACCAAGCCTCCGCCTTTTCCAAGACTCCAACACATTTCTCTCCTCCTCCTCCCTCCCTTCCGAGGCTTCCAACACGAAACCTTCTTCCCCGTGGGCCCCGGCGTCTCCCCTCAGGAGCGGGACGACGAGCGGTCTGAAGCAACAGAGGGAAACGATGATGAGAGTAGTGTAAATGTACAAAGTCACCCACACGTAGAACGTCCATTTCCATCTATGCAATATCTCTTTCATCCAGGGGAGGTGGGACTTTAGGACGATTTCGGCCCCGTAGACTTGAGGGAGCTCTACCGTCCCGGATCGCGGCATCAAGGTCACTCGGATGGCCTCCGTTCTTGGATGGCTCTCCTTGTGCCTTATCATGAGGATGACGATCCTCTGGGATTCAGCCGTTATACCGAGTAGGAGGGGTAGTCCCCATACCAATTCTTTCATCAGTCGTATCGGCTGGCTCGTGAAGTGTAACATGCATGGTTGGCTTGATCTCGTCCGCGCACTTCCTCCGTTCGATATCAGCTCTGCACCCACCTAATTATCCAAAGCAATTGCAAGTCAAACTTGTTAATACTTCGTACAAATTACACTAACATATCTGATACTCTGCTAATGAGGGTTTGTCATACATGCCCTACAATGACACCATTGTGTCAAACTTGTTGTCAATCTCTAGTGTCAAAGTAGCATTTCCCAAGAACAAATATATCTAATGACGACTTTAATCTATATCATTAAAAAACGGTTATTACCGGAGTAAAAACGTTGTTTGCAAATATGTGTAGGGCACTAAGTAATCAATTAATTAATTCACCTGGAAGATTCCTAACTCTCTGTTGTAATCAGATTCCGGCATTACAAGGACCAAAGAAACATAAAAGGTATGGCCAAGAGGCACACCAACTTTTTTGTTCTTAGGGACGAAAATACCCTTATGCCCGATGAATCCGCCGCCGCGGCCGCTGCTTCCATGGGCAAAAGAGAATGTGGCCGTGGGATGAGCGGCGGTGTAGTCGAAGTCCAGTCTCTCTCTCAATAGAACCGGCTCCTCCACCCACAACCTTACCAACGACACGCCTAAAATTGCCGCCAGAGTAAGCAGAAGCCCCAAGATCATACCTACATAGGCGGCCGCGAGTATCCCGACCCCAATTTTCCTCAGCAACGCGCCGCCACCGTATCCTCCACGGCCATCCTCCGATGCAGAGGAGGCGTTGTTGGCTGAGAGCATGACCGGCTCCACGGCCCTGCATGTCGTCCCCAATGTTGTAAATATATATAACTTGTAACCCAATCAAAACACAACATGGTTACATTGCATAATGGAGTATGAAATAGACATTCTATATATGAGCCTTTTTAACAGTGGCAAATTAAGGCTAGTTCTTTTGAGACTGAAGTCTAGTGTCAATCGATACAAGTTCATTTGAACATCTTACCAATCGAAGAACATCTTATGGTGTTCAATTTGCCTGAATTAACTGCTATCAGAAACTTATTTCATCATATTAATATATGAAACTCAAATTTAATGTATTACATAGTCGATACAAGTTCATCCAATTTGACTAAAAAAAAACTTAAATTGGGCAAAAATACTCTGAAATAATGGATGGAAAATACGGAGTATGTATTGCATACTAACACAAAAATAATTTTATTAAAATTCTATCATGCAATAAAATTTCATAAGATTTTTTTAGACCTGGCAAAAAGTGACCCGACCTGTTTTTGACCCGAAACCCGACCTGAAAACACTGGGTTTTGAACAAAGGTTTTGATGACCGAACCCGAAATGACCCGCTAAAAATGGGTCAAACCCGACCGAACCCGAACCCGACCTGACCGACCCGCTAAAGTAAGAATTTTTCAAAATTGTACACTTTTTTACTCGTTTTTAGTGTATAAATTTATATTTTC